GAGCAAAAGGGCGTAAAGTCATTCACTCTATTCAATGATATGTGTTTGCGGCCCTCTGCCCGCCAAGACTTTGTTTCCTGTTCGTATTCATTTTGTATTCATGCTTTCTATCGTCTGTTAAGAGCCAGAACGGCATTAATTAATACTGCTTTCAAAAGACATGTCTTAATGCCCTTTTGGTTCTTAGCACACAGTTTGTTCATATGTTTATTTTTTAGTGTACATAAGAAAAGATTATCAGCATACGTCCAAGCACTAAACAGTGCTCTAGTGTTTTTTTTAATTTTTATTGATAACAAATTTTATGAAACAAGGCCTTTTCATGCCATTTTGACCTTGATATCGTCGGTGGGGTGACAAAACCTCGTATCTCAATTTTTTGAGATTTTGATTTTTTTGCATAATTTTGTACCTAATGGCCTACGACACCAGCTGATAAATCCATGGAAACCCTCCTTCTCGGTTTTTTCACAAATTATACACTAACACCCTAAAACTAAACCTCGTAACTTTAACCCCCTTTGAACCTGCACTGACAAAACCTCGTAACATAAGATACATAATTACTTTTCCTCGTAACTCACACACGGCCTAACAGTACCGAAGTTAGTGTATTCAAATCCTCGTAACTTATTCAACCAAATCCTCGTAACTCATTCAAAGTTGAAAGTAAGAACTCGTATCTCAAGTTGAATAAGAACTAAAAACTTGTATCTCAATGTAGATAAACGCAAAAACCTTGTAACTCACTTTCAAAAATAAAAACAATTATTTTACTGTATTTGAACAATGACATTACAAATTGTATAAATATTCCAGTTTTAAAAAGAAAGGACGGTGTCACAGACCTAAATTTGTTGAGACAGGAAAGTTTTTTCGCTCTCCTGAAAATTCATGATTTTTGAGATACAAGGTTTTGTCACCCCACCGACGATATGCTACCATACTATTGCAGCATGTGCATGATTTACATCAAGTAGTCCTTTATAGTATACTATACATGTGCATAACATACACATCTATACTCTGTAAGTTGATTATTAGTTGTGATGTGCATGTGTTATGCTCCTCCATTTATACTCTGTATCTGCAATTATGGTATTCAAGGGTTAAAAAAAGGCAACGACACCCAAGCATAATTGCATGTCATGATTAATCAGCCTTACTAATACATGAAAGTGGCATTGAGCTTGGGGCCAAGAGAACATTTCTATTTGGAGTTATGCCAAGGCCCGATCTATGAGTATGAAATTGAGCGTTTTATTGTGCACCAATAAGTTATTTTGAAGAGATTAAAGTACATTTAAAATAATGTATTTTATCATGGATTTCACATTTAGTTGCATGCTCTTTTTTTGATAGGCATAACTTAGTTACAAGTTATAACAATACTTCCTCTTATTATAATTCCCCTTTATTTTGGTCACATTATAATGAAGTCAATTGTACATGTGTAATCACTAGATATGTTCAATTATAGGGAAGATTGCTTTGGCCAGTCTGAGACAATAAAAAGATAACTAAAGTGCTTTGAGATTGCCAATTTAATACAAGGCATTGCAGCCATCGAGTTGGGCATCATACCACCAATGCTTACTGGCCTCTGTGCGTTTATTTAAGGGCCTGTCAGTATGTTTAGAATGTGTTTTTGAATGGCTTTTGTTTAGCCTGAAGCCACTAATAACTTGTTTTCAGTAATGATATTAGAAAGGGAAGAGAATTGCTTTCTCCTTCGTAAGTGTAAGTCACAAAAGACAGTTTTGGTCATACTGCATTCCCTTTTGTTTAGGAGGGGGATAGGACTTAAACAGAGGGCAAATAACAAGAAAACTCAATATTGTGTTTTGGCAGTTGTAGAAACATAAGGGGAGAGTACAAAGATGTTGAATAAGCTTTCAAAAGAAATGAAAACCTTGACACTTGTAATATATGAGTTATTTGTAAAGTGCATGTAAATATGTTATTTTTATTGGATATATATCGCACCTTTTGCATTAAAAGATCCATTTGAAAGATAGCTATCATTGCCTTCTTTGAGTACAGGTAATTATAAAGGGTACTAAGGTGTGTAAGAAAATGGCTGAGCAAAGAAAGAAAGGGAGAGAGCAGGAAAGACGGTGAAAGAGGGAGGAAATATGCAGTGGGTGGCGAGGAGTAAAAAAAAAAAAAGCAAAAAAAGGAAAATATATAAAAGAGATCAAACGGGCAATAGAGGGAGTTATAGACGAGGCTAGAAAGGGAGAAAAGGAATGAGTGAGCGAAAGAGAGAGAGAAGGAAAGGGGAGTGTACAAAGTAAGTGAAAGGAGAGATAGAGCAGGCAAGATAGGGAGTGATAGAAGAGGCGAGAAAGAAGAGACGGACAGAGACAGAAGGAAAGGGGGATGTGCAAAATGAAAGATCAAGAGAGACAGAAAGAGAAGACAAGAAGAAAGGATGAGTGTGGAAGAGAGAGGGAGGATAAAATGGAATTGGTGAGGGCAAGGAGAGAGAGAAGGAAAGGGCAATGTGCAAAGTAAAAGAGAGACAGATAGAGAAGACAGAAGAAAGGACGAGTGTGGAAGAGAGAAGGGTAGAAGGGAGATAAAGTTGATGTAAAATGAAGTGTGCAAAGTGAGGGAAAGGAGGGATAGAGCAGGCAAGAGAGGAAGTGTTAGAAGAGGCTAGAAAGAAGAGAGAGAGAAGGAAAGGGGAGTGTGCAAAGTGAACTAGGGACAGAAAGAGAAGACAAGGACAAAGGATGAGTGTAGAAGAGAGAAAGAGAGAGGGAGGATAAAGAGAGAAGGGTAGAAGGTAGAGAAGTTTGCGTAAAACGAAGTGAGGGAATGAGCAAAGTTAGGTAGCTTAGCAAAAAAGACGCATCAAGATTGTGTAAAATGCAGAGTGAAGTTTGTTATAAATTGTAAGTTCTATTTTTACATATTGAATGAAAGGTTAGCTTCATAGAGACAGTGATTTTACCAGCTCTATATCCTCACCATATTGTTTTACCTCTCGTGTGATAACATTATGATGGAGTTTGCGCTTGGGAAGCGACATTTCATACGACTACATTTTGCTATGCTACCATAATAATGAGAGAGGGAGGGATACAGAAATGAACAATCATAATATTCCAATTTTGGATATTCGTAATACATTGTATTTTTAGTTTTATAGGAAACAGGAAAATGCAAACAACAATAGTTTCAGAATTAAAAAAAATAGTATTGCTTTATTAATAAACAGAACAGAATGGCAAGATAACGGTGCATTGGCACTACAAAACTTTGGAAAGTTAATATTTCAAGGTATAAGCAATATGAAACAACCAAAATATGAATATGAACATAGACAAATTGTAAAGTCTATAAAACCTTTGGACATGAGAAAAACCTACTACATCATCATGCAATATAACATTTTGCACAATACCTCATGGTATTGAAAAAATGAAAGCATATCATTGCAATATAAAAACGATATGATTAATAATTTTGTGATTTATGTACCTTCCCATCCTTTTTTCCTTTTGATTTATTTTTCAAAGAATCCATGACTGTTTATATATAGCAATACAGTGAATATGTTTGTCAGAAAGTTGCCTTCTTTCAATGGTGTTTCTATCCTGGTGCGATGCGCATATATAGCCTTATTTAGGCTTCACTTTGACAAGTCATAAAACAATGCTACAAAAAGTTTAAAAGAATTAGCTTACAATAAATACTCAATACTTCTTTCATATGAAGGCACATAAGTTCGCACACAGATTATAGTTCTCAGGTTTAAAACCTTTTTCTTTTCATATATTCAAGTGAAGATGAAAAAAAGTGGGCAGAGCCAACTTCAAGCATCTGAAAAAACATGGAAAGTGTAAAAATATGAAAAGAATTAATGACTACTTAAAATACGCCTTTTTCAACTTATGAAATATGAATGTGAACAATAACATATTTATGTAGAATGTCTCTTATTCAACTATGTATGGCTTGCCGTAAGGTAGTAAGATATAAAAGTTTGATATAATCTGCCAGTTATATTATCAATCCTGTGAAAATATATACTGCTCATCTGATGAATATATTATTAAATTACTTCATAAACTAGGTAAAAATCAACCACTGTGAAAGCACTAATTTCAATTTGGCAAGATATTTTCATTGCAATAAATAACTTGTATTTACATATAATTATCGCTTTATCAAATGATAACTTCGAACATATTTACATCACACGTCTTTGTGTCCGTACACAAACTTAAGTACAACATTTACCTTAAAAATGTGAGTAACTCCTACTCTTAATACAAGAAAAAATATGAAATACAGAATGTAAAACAAACTTTAAATAGTAATATAAGAAATCTGAACTTGCAGTACAAAAGAATTTAAAAACCCTTTTAGCTTAATGATGAGAACACAACATTTTGATCACAGTCTCATAATAAGTGAAACAAAAAGTAAGAAAGAACAAAGTAAAGGATAGATATGATTTGAGGCATCAAAGTAATTATAAATGCAAGCTTTTAAGAACACCATTCGATTGAATAGGAAAGAAATGACTACACCAACAACAAAATATTTCATGGCACTCTGAAATGTGTACTCCTTTGAGTGCCTGTAAGACTCTGGGAAAGAACGGCATTGTTAAAAATGAGGAAATGTTACTCAAGCACACTTGTTAATACTAACACTGTCTGGATAATTAGGAACTCATTCGTTTGTGTTACGGCTGTTTTGTGATTCAGCATTAAATAGTAATAAAGTCAGTTTCTTTCCTAAAGCAAGGTAGATTTACCAAATAACTTTATTTTCTTTCACGCATCATTTCGAAGAATGTTTTACTAAAGATATATGGAACTCCTCTGTCTATCTTGCAGGTAAAGAATGAATCCAAGATCCTCTGGATAATTAATATTAATTTAGGAGATTAACTGGATTGCATGTCTTTTAACAATTTTTTTTACAAGTCTGATGTATATCACTTAATGGCAGGATAAGTTGCATGAGGATTAAGGAATACAAGAAGGTCCATACTGAAGATATGTAACATTTATTCAAACTGGGCCCATTTCACAAAACTTGTCATCAGTGACAAATGACAGTTGTTGTTATAAGCTAGTGAAATCCTTGCTTCTGATTGGTTATCAGCAGATTTGTCACTGATTTTTGTCATTTGTCATTGACAAAAGGCTTTCTGAAACAGGTCCATGGACTGTCAAATATCTCACAGCTAGCTGGATAATTTCACAAAATCATTATATCTACATGCTTGGTTCTACGTCTTTCTTGCCCTGAGAGATAGTGAAGTTTGCTGTTTATCATCTAGGCAAGGACAGGATTGTTGACGATGCTGGACTTGCGTCTTTTTCGCTCCTGACCCCCATCTGGTTCCTGACTGCATGCCAAATCAAAGTCATGTTTCTGCCGAAAAAAGGTTGAATAAAATTAGAAAAAGAATGGGTAAATTAACTCACATTTATATAGAATTAAGAGACAATCATTTTGCAACGCTCAACCCAGGTGATGTAAATGGGTACCTGGCAGGAATTTTAATTCCTTGAAATGCTAGAGCGCTGTAATGGCAGCCATGCTAAAGCCATAAAGATTGATCGGGAGCGCCTTGAGTGTCAAGTCTGACAGATATGAGTGCTATACAAGAACCCAATATCTTTTATTTATTATTATTATTAACACACAAAGTTGAATGTCAACCAATAATGTTTGAACACTTTGTATGTTTTTGTCAACTAACTATAACAAAAGAGTAGTGCTACCATTACATTTTTGTCACACATACAATGTGTACGAAAGATACACGCAGTGACAATAAATTGTGTTAGTCCCTTAAAGGTTTCAGTGTGCAGCAAATAAAGAATAAAGAATTCACATCATTTTCTTATTTAGATTACAGGCCTTTGTAAAAAAAAAAAATTGTAAAGAGCTAATGAATTTCAATACAATTTATCAAGTGTATGAGAAATCTGATAAAATATTTAGATAAAATTCTTGAAGACAGAAACACACCACACTATTTTGCAATTGACTATTTGGATGTGTGCCGTTGCTCATCAAGCAGACTTGTCCATCATATTAGTCCAAGTATATTATTACAATTGATTGATTTTTATTTTTTGATTTGATTTGATTTATTGGTTTCTGCATCTTTTTTCGTTTTTTCATCATACATTTTCATGAACATAATATGGTTTGACACAATATTTTAAGTGTATATAATTTTATACAGATAATAAACGAAATTAAACAAATATATTGAATGCATAATTAACATACATAAGATGCAGAAGGGCTACAAAAATACGCAAAGTAGCTTGATGTGCCCGCAGCCCTCAACTTAAATACAACAATAAAAATATAAATAAAAAAGAGTGTGACTAGCATTTATTTCAATAAGTTCTATAGCTTACACAAACTTGTATGCATAGAAACATATTAAACAAGATACAAGATTATCTTTCTCCTTTCAAAATGCAATAAAGTGACTCTGTAACATTGCCTCAGATTTAGTGAAACAAAATCCTTGATTTACCTCATGCTCCAATCATAATTATAAACCTTTAGGTCAGTCAGGAATCCCACGCCTATCTGATTATCAAGATATTTACGATTGGAAAAAAGAAAAAAAAATAGTTTTCCGAACGAGAAAATGAGTATGGTAAGACCAGTCACTCAAAGATTTTTACTTTTTTTTTTAGGGCTTCAATTTTACACCATATCACAGACACTGATAATAGGGCCATGCACCTTAGATTTAACATTGTTAAATGATGCCTTTAATCCCATTTTGTTCCTGACACAGTTTAATGCCACTATCCTCTTAAGCTACATTATACCAACAGAATAATTTTTTTTTGAATTCAGACTTACCCCATCCAGAGTAGTGGCGCTTCTCTTTTTAGACCTTTTCTGTTTTGGCAATTCCTAATAGAGAATATCGAAAGGAAAATACGGTTAAAGGAAGTGTATTGGTAAAATATTTCCAGACAAGATGTAAAACAAATAAAGGAAAGATCATTTACACATTCCACAATTACAATTTGCATTTCAAATCAATTAAGATCAATAAAACTAAATTGAGATTTTGTTTATTTAGAAATAGTGCTATATTTTCTGCTCATCCTTTGCTTGATAAGCAGATACGTGAATGTATGAATGAATGAATGAGTTAATTAATGAAATAATGACTCAATAAAGGAATGAGTAGATGATGAATGGATAAATAAATGAATAAAAGAATGAAGGAATAAATAAAGGATAAAGATAATGAATGCTTGGGTGAATGAATGAAAGAATAACTGACAGACTGCCTGATGAACTGGAAGAATGAATGAATGAATGAATGAATGGATGGGATGAATGAATAAACGTACAGGCAAATGAAAATGAGGCATATACTACATCAAGATATCAACCACTGTTCCCTTTATAGCCTATGAAAGGAACTGAAGTCTAGACTTACCTCGACTTGCATGGGAGTGCCTGGTCCTGATGAGCGCCCAGACCTGGTCCTAAGCCCTGATACACTCAGGTCTGCAGCCTGATCTGTCAACTTCTCCAACTGTAAACAAATAAAACAACATTTGAGGGTGAAATGGTATCTTCTCCCAGAGGTTGATAGCAACATATTTCCACAATTCTCTATTATCTGCCATCCTAGTACACTCTTGCAATGTCATTCCTTTCCAAGTCTTACAGTGAAACTGTGCTGAGCCTACTTTACAACCCATTATCAGATTTGAATTCAAATCAATTTGAAATACTACACCGACTTGCTTCAAAGTATCAACTTTCAAGTATAGTACATTTATCTAGAAATGAATGTAAATGGTACATATTGGGAATGGTCAAATGCAAATTTTTAATACTCCCAGAGTCAGGATTTGACTCAATTTACAACAACAAGAAACATGCAAAAGACATCTGGTCCCATAATCATGAATCCTTACTAAACTAGTATACAGACTTTGAAATACATGCAAAGGGTATGTGTGTGGGTTAGCATTAAATTGCATGAACCATTTCATTAATACAGAATTAAGAGTTATTCTTCATGAGTTGGGAATGGCAAACTTGCAAAATTAAATACTCCCAGAGTCAGTTTACGATTAACAAAAAACAAAATATGCACAAGTCATCTGGGCCCATATTCATAAAACCTTACAAAACTAGTTGTCAAATAATTACTATTAGTTCATGGTTACTTGTCAACTAGGCTTAGTAGGGTTTATAAATATGAGCCCAGGGGGTGTTTCATAAAGCTGTTCGTAAAGTTATGCATGAATTTACGAATGACTTAAATATGAAAAGCCAAATGGGATGCTCAATCATTATTAACTGCATCAACTAAAGTTGAACTGTGCAGATGTAGATTAACATTCTTATAGTAACAAATCTTTTTAATGCAAAGTATATTTTTTGCCATAATTTAATTGAGGTTATTGGAAATATAGTCACACTTTGTTAAAACATCAGGAAAAACTTTGGGCATCCTATCTGGCACTTCATATACAAGTCGTTCGTAAAGTCATGCGTAACTTTACGAACAGCTTCATGAAACACCCCCAGGTATACAGACTTGAGTGCATGATAAACCCTGACAATTGTAAGTATACCTCAGACTTTTTGACGTATTTCTTGCGTTGGAGGCTCGTCTTGTTCTTCTTGTTCTCCATAGCTACCCTCTTTTGTTTCTCTTCTGCTTCCATCTCTTCAAGCTCTACTCTGGGGGACAGTCTGCTGAGGTACTTCTGGAAACCGTGCTTCACGATTCTCTCCTGGTTGACAAACTTCACCAGTCTGAATCAAAAATGCAATTTGTATTGTCAATTCATATTAAAGGGAGTGTATCATGGGCAATACTGGTTAACGTCACCTACGTCTTCTTTTGGACAACTGCACGTAAACGAATGAACTTGATTAACTGGGTCAGAGCGTGCTAAACTGGGTCGGCGTGCGCCAGCCTTCGCGAAACAGACCGACGTTCTCCTCACACTTCAATTTTGTGTATGTTGCACGCATGTGAATGCTGCGGTCGCGTCGTCCGTAGTGGTATTATACCCAATTGACCCCAAGTAGGGCCACGGGAAAGACACATAGTCTCGTCATGACATACTCCCTTTAATAGTTTTATTGTGGCTGGCTGTTTATGGATATATATATATATATATGAAGTTAATAATTTCCCACTTACAGATACTTATTTCAGTAATTTTCATTCATGCTTACATAAATGTATAAATGTAGAGGTGTCGTGGTTGAGTGGATATGTCACCTGACTGTGGATCACAAAGTCTGCGGTTCGAGTCCCGCCGCGGCATTAATGTCCTTTGGCAAGACATTGATCTACATTTTGCCACACTCAGTCCAGGTGATGTAAATGGGTACCTGGCAGGAATTAATTCCTTGAAATGCTAGAGTGCCGTAATGGCAGCCGTGCTAAAGCCAGGGTAATAATCGGGAGCACCAGGGGTGTCAAGTCTGACAGAAATGAGCGCTACACAAGAACCCAATATCATATTGGATATTTTTTTCTTCATGTTTTTAATTCAGCTTACTTGTGTTAGCTTTTTAAGATGAAAGATGAAGTGTGTGAGGCTTGTGGAGATTGAAAATGGTATGATTAAGAATTAGTTATGGCACTAGTTTCATATCAGCATCGGATATATGAGTCAGTGAAAAAAATACACAGGGGCTCAGGGCGAAATAGCCCCCAAAATGCCCAAAAGAGCCCCTGAAAATCAGAAAAGAGCCCCCTTAAAATGCAAAACAAATTTTAGAATGTTATTTTCATGCAGGCAAGGTTGAAAAGTAGCCCCCCCCCCCCCCAAATAAATATTACATTTTTCCCTCGTTCGTTCGTTCGTTCGTTCGTTCGTGTCTCCTTAGATCAAGATAGTAATGTAAAGTTCCTTAACTTAGAAGTAAATTAAATTAAATTAAGTTCTTCCATCGCTCGATTGCTGCAATGGCCGTTTCATTAACAAGGGACAGGTCTTCATCCGTGCAACCCGTTCCGCCGCACTGCAAGAGGTGGTCCATCGTCTGAGTCTCTCCGCAGTCGCAGAGAGTATCTCCTTCATGGGCATAGCCCCATCTTGCCATATTGACCTTACACCGTCCCATTCTCGTCCGCATTCGATTTAGGCATTGCCACTCCGGCCACTTCAGGTTAAGACCTTTGATGAGTACGGGCTTGACTGATGGTGGAGGATTCTGTTCAGGTGGTGGGACAGAATCGAGGAAGCTGTGTCGGGATATAAGTCGTTTGTGGGGTTGTAAGTATCCGTGTAGCATGTGTCTGTCATCTGTCGCCTGCTTCATCCGTTCCTTTAGGCAGGTGTTAGTGCGCCTTTGGTTAGGAGATCCAATGCCAGCGAGGTGATATATCTCCTCAACTTTTGTTGGTTTCAGACATCCTGTTATCTTTCGATATGTGTTATTGAGTGTGGTGTCAAGCTTCTTCACATGGGCTGATCTGCTCCAAACTGGGCAAGCATATTCTGCGGATGACATGCATAGAGCAACAGCTGCACTTTGTACAGTTTTGGGGTCAGCGCCATAGTGTGAAGATACTAGCTTCCCGATGATGGCATTTCGAGATTCTACTTTGCCTATTGTCTTCTCGATATGTTTCTTGAAGGATAAAGTGCGGTCAAGTTTTACACCTAAATACACTGGATGCTCGCAGTGGTTAAGTTGCACATTGTTCCACTTTAGCTTCAGTTCTCTCTTTGCCTCCCTGTTCTTCAAGTGGAAAACACACACCTGAGTCTTGGATGGGTTTGCCCGTAGGTAGTTTGCTCTGTAGTACTCCGAAAGGCTTGCGAGCGCTGTGTTGAGATGGAGTTCAACAGCTTCGAAGGTACTATGCTGGGCTGTGATGCAGGTGTCATCTGCATAGATGAAGTTTCGAGTGTTCTCTGTTGAAGGGATGTCAGCAGTGTATATGTTGTAGAGTGTTGGCGCCAGGACGCCACCCTGGGGGAGACCGTTTTTCTGTTTCCGCCATCTGCTCTTCTGCCCATCCAGTTCGACAAAGAAGCGTCTGTTCTGCATCATCTTCTGAATGAATCTGGTGAGTTTGAGGTCATTTGTGATGTCATGAAGTTTTGTCTGTAGCCTTCGGTGATTGACAGTGTCATAAGCCGCAGATAAATCCACAAATACTGCACCTGTGATGAGGTTGTTCTGAAAACCGTCTTCGATGTGTTGGGTCAGGTTGAGAAGTTGTCCCGTGGTGGATTTTCCTGGTCGGAAACCTGCCTGCTCACAGTTCAGTTGGCTGTCAACGTGAGGCCCAATTCTGTTGAGAATAAGGCGTTCAAGCAGCTTGTATGTTTGGCACAGGAGCGAGATCGGTCGAAAGTTCTTGGCTTCGTTCGAGTCCTTTCCTGGCTTGAGGATAGCGACGACTTTGGTTCGGAGCCACTGTTTTGGGACACATGTGTTCTCGATGCAGTTGTTAAACATGTCTAGCAGCCATTTCTGTGCTACAGAGCCCATGTGTTTGATCTGCTCCGATCTGATGTCATCGATGCCTGCCGCCTTGTTGACGTGTAGCGTGGAGATACCTTTCTGTAGTTCTTCTTCAGAAATAGGTCTTGTGAAAAGAGACATGTTCTGGTCAACTCCAGGTAGTTTGTGCCTGTGTGAATTAGTCGTCTTGGGGGCCTTTCCATTTTTCAACAGCTGATTTGCTACTTCGTCAGCCGTAACATTATAATGCTGTTGAGCTCTGGTGCTGTCAATTCCGAGCTTGCGTATGGTGGCCCACGCTTTCCTGCTGCTGTGTCTTAAGTCTGTTGTTTCAATCATGTGCTGCCACATCTGCCTATGTCGTTGAGATATCCTTGATATAAGCTCTTCTCCAAGGTTGATGGTATCCTCTGAGAAGGCATCTGTGTCGTAGGCTGTGGTGTAGTTTGCCAGAAGCTGACTTGATTCCTCATCGATGCCTGGAATGTATGTCGTGCGGCAGCCTCTTGGGATATGTGTACGTGACACCTTCTTGACTATATCTATGAAGGATTCATAGTTCTTTGGATCTGCAGGGAGATGTGTTAGGGCATGATCAAGGTGTTCGGTGAAAGCAGGCCAGTCTGCCTTAGCAAAGTTGAACCTGCGCTTGAACGGGGTCTTGTTTGGTGTGATAACTGCAGTCAGTTGAATGCCGATGGGTCGGTGTTGGGATCTTGGAATCGGCTCAGCTACAAACTTACGACTGGTGGGAGCAAGCAGCCTGCTGCAGAAAACTAGATCCGGGTTGTAACGTCTCTTCCAGCGGGCACTGGCGAAAGACATGATATGAGTGATGTATCATACTACAGTGTATTGTGTCAAGGTCCATGATTTGCTTTGTTAAATAAATGTGCAAAATCTATGCAGTTTTTGTTATAATCATTTTAATTTAACCACATACCTGATGCAGTAACTTCATATCAGCAGTAGATTAACTCTTAAGCAGCCCCCATGCAATGCACCCCAGTGCCACAGTGCTAATTCCTATTGTGCCAGCCACTAATCCCTCATATTCCTAATTTATTTTAGGGTCGGTTCAAGTACGTGTAGTTTAAATTGTTAATATGTTCGATCCACTATAACTTCTCATCCGTATGTTGTATATAAAAAAAAATGTGCATTCAAGTGGTAAGGAATTTAACCCTCTTTCCGTTGATACCAATATCATTTCATGAATCTGTAATTTTGGAAATGTAAATAAGCACTATCAGTGAGTTGTCGACCCAATCCGTTGTCTCATTTCCCACACAAAATCTGAGGAGCCATGATCAAAACTGACAAATTTGATGATAAAATATCGCAATTTTCTCAGGAAAATCCAATGTAACGGTATAAGTGAAGCACACAAAATCGAAACAACAATAAACCTTCTACACAAATACAATAAGCTTTCATGCGTGCATGCAATGAGCATCGCACAATAGGCATAAACAATTAGTGTGTGTACTTATGCACGAAAATGTGTACGTGGCACACGAGTGAATGAGAGTTTATGTGTGCATGGCAAGCGACCAGAAACCTGATTATGTGAGCGTGGTACGCCAGTGCATGCACGGAACAGTGTTCTTAGCACGATATGAGTTAATAAACGTAAACCAGAATCTTGTTTATACCCATCTTTCGTTGATATTCACTTGTGTTTAATTTATTTCTTTTTATTTCTTTTTCCCTAAAACAAAAGTTCTAGCTGATGATATCCAAATTTGCAGATTATTCATTCTTATTGCAGTACCTTCATATCAGCCCTAAGGCTCAAAAGTGAGTTATAGCATGTTTGTCACATGTGACTTCACTTGGGTTGCGTGTAAGACTGAAAGCATTTTTCATTTAAATTGTCACGCTGTTTCTGATAATAAGAATTGGGGATTAAAGATAATTATTGGACTAATTTCATATTGATCAAGATAAGATAAGAAAGAGCATTATATCAAATTATGATTAAATATTTATCAATTAAATTTGATTACATTTCTACAATTCCCAAAATGCAATAACTGAATAACAAATCACATATAAACATAAGGTATAATACAAAAAATATTCAAACAATAATAACTTCATGTCAAAATGATATTTACATATAAACATATAACAAACTTAATATTTCTATAACATATTATTATACATTTAAAGTATTATCAAAACTATCTGTGGAAAAAGTGCAGCGATGCTTGACTAGGATGGCGGCCTCAAGTTAAATCCTATCTGTACTAGTTTGGTCAGGAGGGATAGACCTTCCTGCATGGCCACTGGCAGGTGTTTATCTCATCAAATCAGCTCTCAATCAACATAAGAATATATTATTATTTATATACTGCGCTTTTTCCAAGTAGTGCAGTCCCGCTTTAAAGGCACACTGTCCTACTTGTAGCTACTTGCTCCCTCTATATAAAAAACTTCCCCAATCGGTGCCTGCATGTTGGTCCCCCATGATCCTCTTTTTCTTATGTTAAATGAGAGCTGAGTTAATGAGATAGCCACCTGTCACAGTGACCTCGCTGGCTCGCTGTGTGGTCTAATCCCTTCTGGCTGAAGTAGTAAAGCCTGCCTTTAAATGAAATGCATTACATATTTGACGCACCTTTTATTCTTGGCGTCCACACTGCAGTATCCTTCCTTCTCTAGCCTCTTGAGGAGGGTCTGGGCAACGCCAGTCTCCACCCCCAGCCGTTTAGCCAAGGTCGGCGCGGTCACTCTGTCCATGTCCTTGGCTGCTTCCAGTGTGCGCCGCCACAGGCAGGTGGCTCTGACTTGAGCGGAGTCTATCTGGCTGAGGTAGGGGTCGGTGGGTTCACATTGTGGGTCGTCGACCTAGGAGAGAGAGAGAGAGAGAGAGAGAGAGAGAGAGAAAGGGGAGGGGTTGAGATGGTGACATGGAGAAAGGGAGAGAGAGAGGGGGAGGGGAGAGGGAGTGAGATGGTGAGATGGAGACAGCATAAGTTAGAGAAATCAAGCATGAGATGTATATACAGAAAGAGATAATGAGAGCAGAACAAATAGGAAAATAAAAGACAGAAAAGGGAAAGAGAGAGATAGAGAGAGAGAGAGAGAGAGAGAGGGGGAGGGGGGTTGTTGAGATAGTGACATGGAGAAAGCATAAGTTAGAGAAATCAAGTATGAGATATATACCGGTATACAGACAGAGATAACAAGAGAGCAGAACAAAGAGGCTAAACAAAAGACAGAAAAGGGAAAGAGAGAGATAGAGAGACAGAAAGAAAGAAGGAAATATGGAGAGAGAGTAAATGACAGAAATAACAAGGGAAAGCAAAATGTTGAATGTTTAGTTCAATGGGGTTCCACTAATTTATTTTCAAAATCTCAAGAAGAATCTTTGCCCATCATACAATACAGATCAACATTCAATGACATTAGAAGACTTTTTATTAGCTGTTGTGTAGATTCATACCGGTAATCTTACCTTTCCACATTGGTGACAGTAGTGTTTCTCAGGGACGTCATCTTCATGTAGGATCATGAAGCATACTGCATGCTGCCAGTACTGACATTTCTCACATTGAATCATCAGACCATCATCCTGTATGCAAAGGGATAACAATTATTAAAATAAAAATTAGACATGTTCATCAGTTGTAATTGGGTATACACACATTTCTGTACTACACTCAGGCCTTAACAAAAAAGATGTTGTATGCCCTTCAGTTGTTTTGTTTTGTTTGTGTTTTTTACTCCCTCTTTGGGTTGATATTTCCTAGTTTTGAATGCTTCAATACATTTTTTTCTTCACAAAAAGGTAACTTTTTTAAAGCCTACCGTAGATTTCGAGATTTTGGGGTCAGTCGCAAAGGGCAATGCAACATCTTTTCTTTGTAGGCCTTATATAAGAACTAAGTGTGACCATGTTCATGAGTGTGAAAACTATAACAGGGATGCAAATAAGAACACCATTTATGCACTTGGAATTAGAAGGAGCACGCAACTACCCCACAAGTTGTGTATCCCCCTCCCCCCTTCCCCCCCCCCCCCACCCACAAACACAAAATTTCATCAATTTTTTATTGAATGAAAGGAGTCCTTAAATTTTCTTCATCACTTAAAGTATAATGTATTCTACGGTACTATTCAATTCTATTGAGAATACATGCAAGCAAAAAGCCAGATCAACTGAAAATGGTATGAGAGAGACTGATATCCCTTCTTTACCTCATTGCATCCACAGGGGCATTGTGGAACAGCCTCTTCATGGACCTCCTCTTCCTCCTCACCAGTCTTGCTGCTTTGTGAAGCCTCATCAATAGCTCCTGTGATAAAGAATATAAACCAGGGGGTGTTTCACATAGACTAAGATCAACTTACAGTTGGACTTGAACTATGGCAGGTGATTTATGCCCTTAAAAGTCTTGAACCAGATGTTAAATTAGTGGATAAAAACCTTAGAAATTATGATCTTTAGATAATGTTTTTTTCTTCAATAATACAGTATAAAAAATTGTGAATTCTGTAGATTTGTCATGAATGGCCCGCCATAGTAAAGTCCAACTTAGAGTCAATCTTAGTCTTTGTGAAACACCCCCTGTAAGGAAAACTTTCAAATATTAGAAATCTCTCAAGGCAAAATAAGAAATAAAGTCTATTTTGTACACTCCTTACACAGAAGTTTTTCAGTAAAAGAGATAAATCTAGGGTTCAAAACTACAGTTTAAAGGAAACCAAAACCTTCATACTAAATTACTTTTATTGTAAAGTTTAAGATGTTTCGAAAAATATTAGTGAAAATTTGAACAAAATTGGGCAAGGAATAAGGAAGTAAGAGCTTTTTGAAATGACTAGTCACTAGAGGGCGGTATTCAATTTGATGACATCATCTGTGGACAACTCTCCATGCCTTTTGTACATCAAATTTCATGTTTTTCCTTCTTTCTTGTGATTGAGATAATGTACACCCCCGAAAGCAAGATATAGAATGCAAAATGATATTCTACTTCACATGTTATGAAGTTGGATCAAGAACACAAATAAATATGAAGAAAACAAAAAAATTGTGAAATTTTATGTACAAAAGGCATGGAGAGTTGTTCACAGATGATGTCATCAAATTGAATACCGCCCTCTAGTGACTAGTCGTTTCAAGAAGCTCTTACTTCCTTATTCCTTGCCCGATTTTGTTCAAATTTTCACTGATTTTATTCAAATCTTTTAAACTTTACAATAAAAGTAACTTAGTATGAAGGTTTTGGTTTCCTTTAAAGGCCCAAATAGCATAATAGGGATGGTTGGTAGCTATGCTATGCCATTACAGATAACACAATTGATTTTTCAAAGGAAAATTATTATTATTAACATCTCTCTGTGAATCCCAAATTTTAAAAAAAGAGTGATATTACATCTATGTCTGGCTGTTTAATAACACTCTACTGTTATGTTTATTTTTTATTTTTTTTAATGATTACATTAATCTGATTTTCTGGAGAGATAACATGCATGTCTACATGCTATTCAAGCTTTGACGTACCATTAAACAGCTTTTAAAGATTTCAAGAAAATTGCTGATGGATAGGTGCAAAAACACCATTACGTATCGAAATACTATGTAACATCATAATAGTCCCTATAATAATCTTATCATGATTTCTATACAACACTTTTCACAGACAACCCAAAGAGTCGAGAACTTCAACACTCTCGAAAACATTCTTTGATCACCCATCAAGATGCATTAAATTATGCTGGTCTCTAATAGAATTTAATAATATCTTCTTTGGAAAAACTTGCTTTGGAGGATATTTACATATATTCCAAATTTTTGAGAAAGTTTTCAAATATTACCTGGTACGTTAGGACTGCTATCTGGGACATCCTCCGCCGTCTTGGGACCATCTTTCATGCCAGCATTCTCTTCATCCAAACAGATCTAGATTAAGATTTTGATTAAAGGGAACCAAAACCTTCAAACTAAGTTACTTTTATTGTAAAGTTTAAGATATTTGAATAACATCAGTGAAAATTTAAACCAAGTCGGGCAAGGAATAAGGAAGTTAAAGCTTTTTGAAATAACTAGTCACTATAGGGCAATATTCAATTTGATGCATCATTTGTGGACAAATCTCCATGCCTTTTGTACATAAAATTTCACAATTCTTTCATTTTCTTCGTATTTATTTGTGTTCTTGATCCGACTTCAAAGCATGTGAAGTAGAATATCATTTTGCATTCTATACCTTGCTTTCAGGGGAGTAGATTATCTCAATCACAAGAAAGAAGGAAAAACATGAAATTTGATGTACAAAAGGCATGGAGACATGTCCACATGTCTGAAGCAGCGAACCTGTGTCCCACCAGAAAATACTTCAGCTTGCCTTCATATCAAAAGGATGAGGGAAATTTGATATGATGAAAATGAAGTCCACTCTTGGTGACTGACCACACCCCTTATTGGGTAAACACTGATTGATGGAAATACCAATTATAAAAAAGATAATTTTTAATAAGCCATTTATGTTCCTTTTCATGATCCTCCAAATTCTGATTTCTCATTACATATATTTTTTATTTGTATTGAAGATTGTAAAACTTTTTTTTTATTATGATGTGGAAACAAATAATTGAAATGAAATGAGATAAATTACCTTCTCCCTTTCTGTATCCTCCATGTCTGCTTCTTGTTGATCCTTCATTTCTTGACTATCCATCTCCTTCTCTGCCTCCTCCTCTTCTTCTACCCCTTCTTCTTCTCCTGTAGGCTTCATGTCAAACTGCTTCTTGTCAGTGGTGATCCTCAGTTTAACACTTTTTTGGAAGGAGAGAAAAAAATGATATAGAATTTGAAGATAGGATAGACGAATACACATACAATTCACAACTAAATTATCTATACCTCTTGTAAATTTGATTATTTTTTCTTGTGTGTGTCACTCAAGAACTCAAGGTGGACTGGTTGAATTAGGGCCTTTGTTGAATACTTTAAAATGTAAGCTTTAATACGTCTCATTATCAAGAAACGTTAATAGTTACAAATTAATTTTTCACATACTTCAAAAATTTCAAAAATTGTTAAGGGTATGAATTATTTAGCTTTTAACTGTGCATGTATAAACAAAGGAAACATTGATTTTAAGGTGTGTCATTATTAAATTTTCAATCAATTAGGTACATACATATGATAGTACTTTTTAAGATAAGCCTAAAATTGTCTGAACCATCTTTTTTTAATGTACATATTAAACAGTATTTCTTAAATGTGTTAATAAATGTGTATGTACTATATGTCATCTATCATAGCATTATAAATTTTTTCTTTGTTTAAATTTCCTATTCGTCCTAAAAGGAAGAAATTCTACTTACGTGTGGAAGGGCTGAAAGTGAGGAGAAAAAAGAAAAACAAAGACAACAAATTAATACATTATCAGGCAAAAAACAAACAAACAAACAAAAGACAAGTTCCTACAATTCTAATATACTTTATTGAAATGTAGTAAGATGTAAACTTAAAAGAGTTGCTATCTTAGTGAGCTGCTATCTTTAATAGTAAGATGTTAACTTAATGAAAGAGGGGCTATCTTTAATTAGTAAGATGTGAACTTAAAGGTATTACAAAGCTTTGGTATGGGGTCATGAATTTGGTTCAAATTAACAAATTGGAAGCATATGCGTTCCTACAATATTCATTGATTGTTGTCGCGGTTGAAATCGAGTCCAAGGCTACGAAATTATAAATAATAAACTCTTTATGTCGTATAGCTCCCTCTCAAGGTCAAGATATTAATTTAGCTATGAAACAATGTTTTGAGATTTTCATGGTCGCAGCTACCATTCCGCTATATGAAAATTATCAAAATTTACCGGGAGCACCGGTAAATATTTATATTCAATTTTTCTCGAAAACAGAAGTGTTTAAGGGGCTAATTTTTTTAGTGCTTATAATTCATCCAAATATATAAAAATTGTAAAGATTCACTATCCACCCAATTTTCAAAATTTCCCAAAACTTTGTATTACCTTTAAAAGAGTGGATATCTTAGTAAGACGTTAACTGAAAAAAGTTGATATCTAATCTAAATAAGATGTAAACGTGAAAGAGTTGCTATGTAAGTAATATAAACTTTAAAGAGTTGATGTCTAAATAAGATGTAAACCTAAACAAGTTGCTATCTTAGTAAGATGTTAACTTAAAGGGAACCAAAACCTTCATACTAAGTTACTTTTATTGTAAAGTTTAAGATATTTGAATAAAATCAGTGAAAATTTGAACAAAATCGGGCAAGGAATAAGGAAGTTAGAGCTTTTTGAAATGACTAGTCACTAGAGAGCGATATTTAACTCTCCATGCCTTTTGTACATCAAATTTCACAATTCTTTTGTTTTCCTCGTATTTATTTGTGTTCTTGATCCGACTTCATAACATGTGAAGTAGAATATCATTTTGCATTCTATACCTTGCTTTCAGGGGAGTAGATTATCTCAATCACAAGAAAGAAGGAAAAACATGAAATTTGATGTACAAAAGGCATGGAGAGTTGTCCACAGATGATGTCATCAAATTAAATATTGCCCTCTAGTGACTACTCATTTCAGAAAACTCTAACTTCCTTATTCCTTGCCCGATTTTGTTCAAATATTTTAAACTTTACAATTAAAGTAACTTAGTATGAAGATTTTGGTTCCCTTTAAAAGAGTTGATATCTAATCTAAATAAGATGTAAACTTAAAAGAAATGCTATCTCAGTTAGATGTGAACGTATCATTTTATTTCATGACACCACAACTGACATATTCATCTACAGTATTTGTAATATGTTCACAGGACTGTATTTTCATGGTGAATTAGGCGAATGAGTGGTTTCAGTATACACGAGGAGCAATTACAACATTCAAAGCAAAGACGTGAATATATTTGAATTGATTACCACGCCCACATACACCTTGTAATTCTGGTGATGGATTTGCATTCCCAAGAGGAAATGGTTTAAAGAAGTACCTTTAACTCATAGCCTGCCATAAGGCTGCATGCACGCTTTCGTTATCGTGCTTTGTACATGCGAGAGAGCCACCGCTTGAGTGCCATGTGCGTGCAAGGGCGCATTCGTAATAGCAGTTATTGTTCATGCACATTGGACTGTGCTGTGTATTTTGCACTCTCTATTCATAGAACCATCGCGTTAATCAGATTATCTCCAAAACAACCTGGCATGGGGGAATTTGGGGCTTGGCACAATGGGGATTAGCCCTGTGGCATGATAAGAGTTAAAGCCCTACTGCACTACTTATAGCTACTTGCGCCCTCTATATAGCAAATAATGCCTAATCGATGACCGTTGGTCCCACATGATCCCTTTTTGTTACGTTAAATGAGAGCCTATTTGATGAGATAACCACCTGCCAGTGACCATGCAGGGAGGTTTTATCCCTCCTGGCCAATCTAGTGCAGAGGGGCTTTTATGGACGATCTTTGGTTTGACAGCCTCTTAAATATGTAAATCCTAATAAATAGAAGTGTCTACTAAAGGGCAAGCCAGCCTCATATCATTAACAATTGATAACCATGCATGCCATCCAAGACCAGCATTTTGAAAGGGATGATGCAAATATCTACCGGTAGTCAGTTCAAATCCAAATATGCCAATATTGGATTAATATTTAAAATCAGGAATTTATTGTTTTTAAAGGTTTAAAAGTCTCCCCCCCCCCCAAAAAAAAAAAAGAAGCATACTTACAGTTGTGACTTCTCCTACTCTGAGGTTGATAGGTTCATCATCGTAATTGAAGGCGTCGCTGTCTGATGCCTGGAAACCTGGAGGTTCATAGTCCGTTGGTGTCACTGTGGGGATGATATTTAAAACATTCTTCTGTAAATCATAACATTAGTTTGTCATAATACAGTCAAACCTGCTTTAGTGACCACCTGTCTACAAAGACCAAGTTTTTTGTTTCCCTTGAAAATAGTTTCACATTGGAACATGTACTAATGGAACCCGTTTACAAAGACCACTGTTTGTGTTTCCCTTGGGCGGTCGCTAGACAGATTTGACTCTAGCAGCTAACCAGTTACAATAAACTGACCAAAGTACTTACAGTAGTATCGATGGATTCAGAAACATTTCTAAACTTTACAGTGCACCATCTCCGCTCCACTGAGAGCATTCCAGGTAGATGTTTTGTTGTTGTTGTTTTTTTTACACAAAGACATAAACATCCAACAAGCTACCCATTTACATCTGGGCTTGGTGTAAATGGTTCACTATTGCGATGAATTAAATCTTGTCTTTCAGGGAAATGTGCTATACCAAACACTTTGAGGATTGGATTGGATTGAACTTGATTGAACTTGATTGAACTGGTTTGAACTGGATTGAACTAAATTATAATACATACCATCATCATAGTAGAGTGATTGTGATCAAGTAAATCTTACCATTCTGGGAAATGTGCTCTACCAAAAACTTTCGAGGATTGGATTGAACTGGAATATACTGGTTTGAACTGGATGGAACTGGATTATAAAACATACCATCATCATAGTAGAGTAGTTTCATGGTCATCATGACGTCATCTGGGAGGAGCTTAAGAGACTGGGTCAGAACTAGGATGGTCCTGAGGAGCTGGAGGGTTGCTCTCTTCGTCTGGGCCTCTGTATGCGCTCCTGTAATCTTCTCTTCGTTCCTATATATATATTCGAATTAAAATGGATAATCAATATCAAGTAAAAATTAATATTCAGTTATATCAAGTAACGGAATAGGGAAATACTACCTTTTACAACAGCCTCAGACACCCCCCTCCCCCTCCCCTACCCCCTGGAAATCAACCCCCTAGGAAAACTTCCCCATTATAAACTAGCCATTAGGTTGAAAAAATTCAGGGGGGGGGGGGGGGGGGGGGGGGGAAGTCCTCAAGTTAGTTTTCAAAGGGTGAACAAATCAATAACACAGCTGAGGCTGCTCTGGACGCAATATTGGCACCTTTGCTTTTTTACTGATCGGCATGTTACACAACCTAAAGACATGTAAACTGGTAAAACATCATCAAATATTGCAGCAGCAGGACTAAGTAAGTAGTTTATCATGACATTTTATCAAACGTTCTTATTCAAAGCTTGACTGACCTGTAGATATCGACATCTGGTCCATTCTTGGAATAGGTGAACTTGAAAGTGTACGTCTCCATGGCAGTCTGGAAGAGAAAAAAAAATATTACAAAAAAAATAATTTGATAATTTATTAATTCTTAATTATTTAAATGCTGTGAGCGTCGAAATCGGCACCCTAGCATAGCCGGGCAATGTTGGAGCACCTTGAGAACCTTGCAAGGTCGATACGTGCGCTATATAAGAATCCAATATTATTATTATTATTATTGTCCAAAATGTAGATATACATGTATGCTTTGCACCTGCAATAAAAGACAAAACAAGAAATCAAGACAGAAATTTAGACACACATGTACAACATAAAAACAACCGAGGAAATGTCATCTGTTTACAGAACTAAAGCCATGTAACACCACATGGTCTACTCATAATTGATATTCATTTTCTCAAACTTCTTTCCTCATTAAAACATCATTTAGCTACTACTTTAATCTTCACTTTTTTTCATTTTTTTCTTGTTCCATTTGTAATCGTTATCATCATGATCATTTATTGTAGTTATATTTATTTTCTCTAAGTACTGCTCTTACGTACATTTTTATCAAATATATATGTGGTATATTATTCATCTTTGAAATGAGGAGATACATGTACACCATCAAAAACTGAACTCTATCATTTCCATAGACTTATAATACAGGAAATCCCATTCCAGTGATTAAAGGGTTTAGTTTCAGAGAACAAGAACAAAAGTATCACAGCTGAAAGCTTTAAATACATCAGTAAATCTAATATCAGGAATGTAATGCAATGACAGCCTTATAGAAGACCCCTATGTAAAATGAACATTGGTTTCTCATTCATGATTTTGCCGATGAAATATAAATGTTCTCCATAACGTAAAGAGGCCTAATTGCCAGCACACACACTGTACATGCAAACATTCATATGATTATTAAAAGCATGTTATTTCATAACATCCCATTGTATGCATTTTGATTAAACGGCCCGGATGGCTTCAGTTTATACTCACATTAGGGTCGCTTGGGTCTGTATACATCTGTTGTTGAAAAATTAGAAGATGAAACAGATGATTTGAATGAAGTACAAAGTCATGCACAACACGCATGTATTGACAGTACACACGTGTGTAACAGCTAGCAATTCATGGCATGTTTTCAGACCAAGATACTTCAGCAATAAAGTAAAAAAGACATTATGACATAGAAATACAAAGAAAAGGAAAAAAATAATGAGAATAGCCCAGGGCTGGTATTCAATTCAATACTTAGCATAAGTAAGAAATTTACTAAGTAAATGGCTATTTATTAGTAATTTATTTATGTTGTATTCAAATCTAGACTTATATTTACGTAAGACAAAATCTAAGTAAAATACTTACTGACAAGCATTGTGACATCACACGGTCAATCAAAAGTAATGCGCAATTAATGCATTGCAATAAATGCGCTGATATAATTGCGAGCAGGTTATAATTCTGCGTAAGAAAACCATATGCCTCCAAATAATTGGCTTAAGTCTGGTAGGGAGCTGTCTTAAATTTAGCATAAAAATACTTAGCCAAAAGTTTGAATTGAATACCAAATTGGGTAAGTATTTTATCTAAGCCAAATACTAAGTAAAAAGCTTAAATTTTGTACTTAAGTATTGAATTGAATAGGGGCCCTGATCAATGGTCGTTGCAGGTCAAGTAAAAAGACGCAAATCCTTAAACATAGCTTTTAAAAATCATTATGATATTGTATAAGTGGTAGCCATCATGTAATGTGAAAAGTGTTATCAAGTATTGATAATTATTAAAAACAATATCGTGTGATGCTATGTTTAACCACGTTTTGGGCTTGGAATTTCAATGAACATGCACCACTAGCACTATGAGCAACGATAACAAGAATTTAATACATTATAATTCCCCCATCAGTCATGCGCACTATATAACTGCTATTTGGATAGTCACAGAAAATGTCAATGTTCATCCTTTTCTGATATTTCTTGAGCTATAATGATAATCCTAAATTTGATGATTATAGTAAAGTAATTCCACAAAAATTTCTTTTTTCTAGGACTGACATTACTAACTTACCCCAATGATCAAGGCACGGAGCTGGATTAAAGAGTGAAAGAATGAGTAATTGAGAGAAAGTGGGAGACAAACAGGGGGAGAGAGAGAAGAGCAGAAGAATTACAGAAAAACACATAGAAATCATCATTGTCATTGACCATGAAACATATATTTTCACTGTACTGTTTTGACGGTAGTTCATTTGCTCCAGCTTAAAATATTGCCACTAGATAAGGGCATTATTGAGTAATAACATGATTGTGTTATCCATCTGTTTCTACTTTTGGTTTGTATCATATTGTTTTTAATTATTAAAGTACATATCTTTTTACAGGTACTTGCATATCTTTTACCGGTACTTACATATCTTTTACCAGTAGTTGCATATCTTTTACCGGTACTTACATATCTTTTACCAGTAGTTGCATATCTTTTACCGGTACTTACATATCTTTTACCAGTAGTTGCATATCTTTTACCGGTACTTACATATCTTTTACCAGTAGTTGCATATCTTTTACAGGTGTACTTACATATCTTTTGTCAAGTGCATCAAAGGCCCCTTTCATCCATTTGATGACTTGGCAAGCTCCTGGACATGCGCTGTCATCTTTCAAAATCTTCAGGTTAAGATCTGTTGCATAAACAATATTATATACCTCACTTTAAAAATCTAGGGCATTTTTCAAAAGACTATTGACCAGTTTTGGCATTTTACGTACTGCCTGCAATCTCAATGGGAAGGATTTTAGCACACAAACTTGAGTGGTACACGATCAGATACCCTATTAAGACTAGGTCTTGATAGGGTAAACAAACTTGATTACCATGATTGGTAAGTCGCACATGTATTCTATGACCCTTTTCGGTATATAAAAGTTATAAAAACAATTATATACCTCACTTAAGTAATCCAGCAATCTGATTGGTCGAAATTGCATTCATAAACTTTAACTGTTCCCGAAAATTCCCGGTAACCATGGTTAAAAAACAGTTCAAAATCCCAATAACCATGGTTATTGGGAAAATAGGTCAGTCTCCATGGTTACCCCATAGGTTTACATGTTAAAAAATGGTCTGAGCGATCGAGGATACCGTACGTGTGCGAAGAATTGGTCGGTAATTTCAATACAATTGAATCTCGATCGATCTTACCGACAATTTTATCTTGCATTGTTGACATGAAGACGAAAATAAACTTCCAAAAACAAAAAAACAACATCTGCCGATAGATCTTGATCTAAGTTCGTACCAATATGCATTGCAAAAGTAAAAGAAGGGCCCGTTTAATGGAGCAGCGGTGAAGCATCGACCACGCGAAGCCGTTTTCAATTCATTTTAATGTATATATTAAAGAAAACTACTGTACATGGTGACAGAGCGCACTGGCCGAGTGGTTTGAGGCGCTGACTTTAGTTACATCACCTTTTGTACGCAAGAGATCGAATCCCATCTTCGACAAAAGTTTGTTTTTTTTTTTTTTTTTTTGGCATATAAAAGTATTAATGACTGCTTTAATATTCGAGAAATAGTTGTTTTTATACGCTCTCGGGAAGGTTACAATTGGGCTATTCCCCTCGGCACGCCTCGGGTAATAGCACAATTCTAACCTTCCCTTGAGCGTATAAAAACAACTATTTCTCTCAAAGCAGTCGTTAATACTATACTATGTCTCTCATTAGGCCTGAGTCATCACGGGTTTTGCCGAACCCGGGTTTGATTTGAAAATTTCGGGCGGGGACCGGGTACCCGAAATTTTCACCACTGCGCTGACACTAAAAATCGTGTGCATGCAGCGGCGGGAGTTAGACTAAGTTGCTGTTCTAATAATGCGACGGAAAAGATAGTTACTGCTTTCAAAACAATAAAATAATCAATGGAATTAAATTAAGATGCTTTAAAAAATAAATGGATATCGTTTCAGTTGACGGTAGGTGTTTTTATCGCTCTAAAATTGAGGCTGCAAGAAAGGAATCACGCTTCGTGGTACCGATCGGGTGCGTTCAGAAACGGAAGTGGAAATAGATCTATGACCCACTGAAGACAGAGCAAGAAAATGCCACACACAAGACTAAAATGTTGATCAGACTATTGCAATTAAATCGTAATACTAAAGGCATTAATTTAATTGTCAAAATATATCCACAACATAATGGTTTACCCTTGATAGTTTGATGAAGGAAAATAAATTAAAGCTCTTGGAATAACATCGAAGTGCCTTTCGTTCGTTCTAAAAATGCGTGTATAACGGCAAGCAGAAGTTACGAGTCAAGCTTGATATGCAGACGTAGTTGTCATGCAGTAGACTGTAGAGGGCAGTATGCAGAAGAGAGAGGAAAAAGCGCAGGCCTGAGATCACGTGATATTCACGTGACTATTACGTGATTTTTTTTCCCTCTCTAACTGCGAGCTGCCGCATTCTGCGCTGCATGCATGACAACTACGTACGTCTCATTTCAAAATGATGGCTAGCTGAACTCGATATCGAGTACGTAGCTCATGAAATATCATTATTTCTGTAAGATATTATGAATATCTATAGTATTATTTGTCAAAGCAGATAATTATTTTACGGTAATTTTGTTGAATTGGAGTCCCTTAAAGTCTTACGTGATGTTTTTTAATTGGTTTAATGCTTATTGTTCCGATCAGGTCGGATGACAGTGTAGGGATTTAAACGTGCATCAAGCTTGACTCGTAACTTCTGCTTGCCGTTATACATGTACACGCATTTTTTAGAACGAACGAAAGGCACTTCGATGTTATTTCAAGAGCTCTAATTTATTTTCCTTCATCAAACTATCAAGGATAAACCATTATGTTGGGGATATATTTTGAAAATTAAATTAATGCCTTTAGTATTACGATTTAATTGCAATAGTCTGATCAATATTTTAGTCTTGTGTGTGGCATTTTCTTGCCTCTGTCTTCAGTGGGTCATAGATCTATTTCCACTTCCGTTTCTGAACGCACTCGATCGGTACCACGAAGCGTGATTCCTTTCTTGCAGCCTCAATTTTAGAGCGATAAAAACACCTACCGTCAACTGAAACAATATCCATTTATTTCTAAAGCATTTTTATTTGATTATATTGAAATATAAGTTTGTGAATTCCATATTTTTAGTGCTATATAATATTTCAAAATATCAGTGTGAAATTTAATTTTGAAAAACCCGAAACCCGAAAACCAAAAACCGGGTTTCAGCTCGACGGTCGGGGCCCGGGCGGGGACCCGTTTCGACTCAGGCCTACTGCTTATTACTATATAATTGCTTGTTTCTTTAGTAAATCACACATGAATTTACTTGAGTCACTACCAGATCCATTGAGAAATCATATTTATCCCAAAACAAAGTCAACAGACCAGTAGAACGAGGCTTGTATAAAACAAATCTATTCGTCATCTTCAATTTAAGACAATGAAAGTTTATTAATATTATGTACAGAGAAAATTGGAGAGGAGCTGGCATGATCAATTTATGTTTCACTACTTTCACTAATGTGTTTCTCTCGTTTTTTGGCTGTTATTAAAACCAATTTAATATCAAGGTGGATTTCCTCTTTAAGACATATGATATATATACATGTACACTTATCCCTCTTTACCTTCAAGAGATCTGTCGCCGAATGCATGTTCAGGGAAGATGGTCCGTAAGTAGGTCACAGTTGACACTGCCACAGCCAGGAGCTTCTTCACAAAGACGGCCGACTGCTGCTGGGTCACTTGGTCTGGAGGGAAGATGGCTGACCACTGTGGACGAAAAAAAGGAAAAGAAAACAAGATAGCTCTCTATGCAGGGGGTGTTTCACAAAGATCCTAAGTCTAACTTAACTCTAAGCTGGACTTAAAAGTTATGGAGAGCCATTTGTAGCCTTAAAATAAAACATATTCAAAAGCAAAAATTCAAAGTATTTTAGACTTTTCATAAATTCCACATCAAGAACATGAAATCTCCTTGATGATAGAAAATAATAATGATTTGAATTAACTTTATATGCCTTTTGAAACAACTTTTACAAAATATTTTTAAAGATGCTAACAGCTTTCCATAACTGTTAAGTCCAACTTAGAGATAAGTTCAACTTAGATTCTTTGTGAAACACCCCCTGGTCTTGTTATATCAACTATCATTATCCATTACCCCCCCCCCCCCCCTTGTTAAATTAAAGGTAAAGGCCAGGCCTACTAATTGATATATTTGGTAAAATACAATATCTATCCGGACTGGATAGATCTAGGGTAGTCCAATAACATCTTTCTGTGTACAGTGCTTGTAACTTTACCAAGACTAAGCCAAATTTCTTATCATTTTGATGATTCCAGAACCTTGCAGTCCACACGTTTTCTATTCATTAGCACTTACATGTATGTAATGTAGACTGAGTAGGCTATGAAGGATGTTATTGGACAGATTCATCAATGTTTCAAGTTGAAGAATACAAAAGAAATAGACAACTTACCTGGCCAGTTTTTGTCTTCGGTCGCATGGAAGTAGCTGTTGCCATGATTCTGCACGAATGAAGAAAAAAACTGAGAGTAAACACAAGAGTAGTTACACATCTTACTTAGATCAGTCCATCAGCTTAAGCAATAGTTATAATAATGCAAATAAACAATACATGAAATAATATCCGAAAAATTTCAATCAAGGTGCGACAATGAATATAAGTTACATAAAAAACAGCTCAATTGATAAACATATACGTTTTCAGCTGTGTTTTGAATTGAGCTATGGAATCTAACTCTCTCAGATAAGAAGGAAGTGAGTTCCAGAGAACAGTTGCAGCTGGGTTGAAGGATCTGTTTCTGTACAGATAACTGTTTGATCATTAAGTTGATGCTTGTCATTTTTGCCATTGAGACTAAATCAATAAAAGGCATAAAGCTAAAGGTGACGTACAGTCACAGACCCTATAGATCTAGAGTGGTGAAGTGTGACGTCATCAAAAATCTATTTTTAGAATTTCTCAATTTTGTCTTCATTTTCCAAAAGAACATCAAAAATAATGTCCAAATGTCGAAAACCAATTTAATATGTTAAGTATTGGCCGAGATATGACCATCTGAATAAATATATGTCCTATAGGAACTCAGTGTTATATGCTCTGGCTCCTAATGGTTATAAGGTACCCTAAGGGCTATACTATAGCCTAGGACTAGGTTATACAAGTACAATATAACATTCAGGGGGAAAGGAGGAAGGGGGAGGGATGTACTTAATGTACTCATTTACTATCTATAAGTATCATCCAGCGAGAAGGGAGAGCCATCTTATTCTCTAAAACTGTCTGAGGAGAAAGTAAATAGTAATACGTGGATCACCCAACCCAACATTTGAGGATTTTATAATGCAGTAGTTTATTAAAATTACCAGTAGAGTCTAGATTATGCTAGTAGAATAGCAAATATGAAGAATTGGAAAGGGCACAAAAGGGCACTTTGTGATCCCTGGGGCTAGCGAAAAAATAAGCGCAGATATATTCCTTAAGACTGGGACTACTCATCGATCGGGCTGAATATCTCAAAAGTGGCAAGATAGACAGGACACAATGAGTGATTTCAAGTACGGTGTTCGGTGTTGGTGTTGGTGTTGAGAGCTTGGAAAGGCTGCTGAACCGAGCTCCAACACCGACGGTCAGTTTAGAAGGATGATACCGATCACGCGTGCGCGTTATCGATAGCTCAACACCAGCCTCAGCGCCGAGTGACGTCCTAGTACTCTACAGGCGAAAAGTGTTGCGATAAAAGCATAATCCATTCAGAAATTCCAATAAATAACACCATGTCGAATATCAAATGTAAAGTCATATTAAAAAATCAATAGATAAAATATAATTTCTCTTGAAATACACTATGTCACTATAATTATGCCGACTGAAATTTCGTTCAGTGGGAGGGGGGGGGTAATGTCATTTTTTCACTCTTTAGCACCCCCCCCCCCCCAAAAAAAAAAAAAAAAAAAAAAAAAAAAAAAAAAGTTTTTTCTTTTTTCATTTGACAAAATGTGAGAGCGGGGGGGGGGTATCTATATTACATAAATTCAAGGGGGGTTAACGCCCCTCCCCTCCCTCCCCCCGTCTGCGTACGCACCTGTCAGCCGGAAACAATTATTTCTGGATTTAACAAAACACACACAACAACAGAATGTTTAAGGTAGACCGACAGGTGGTCATGCTATGTTTTACGTTTCCAATTTTAGGTGAGGATGGGGAAAAGTCAACCACCAAAAAGGAAGACGCGCCAGACTCCGCGGACGCCTGGGTTCTCGAAGAGATGCAGGTGTGAACTCCATGATGCACCACAGTCGCCTGCACCATCTCTTTTCAAGAAATCAAGCCGACTTTATGTGAAAGATCACTGGCAATGGCTAATATCCAGCAAACTTTTATCTTCAACTTCAAACTACGTATGCGTGAATTGTATTAACTATGCCAAGCGTAATTGTGAAACTCAAGCTTCCACGTCGGTGCCAAGCCATGATGATGACGAAGGCAATCATGAAATTAAACCACCAATATACTCGATCCTGCAGTGGAGGAAATTTTGCAACGAGTACAAGAATCAACAGAAGATCAAAGAGAGCATCTTTACTTCAACTTGGGTGATTCCATAAACAAGAAGATACTTGACGATACGAAAAACCTGGCAGGAGATTATACCAATCTAGATAATCTTGCAAACTTTGATATTCAACAATTTCTGAAAGGAAGACCAAAGGAACTGGTGAATTTCTTATCTGGTGCAACCAATATCTGCACAGAAAATGCATCTCTCTCCAAGAAAACAGCATTTGCCATTTTAGTTGAACAATTGTACTATGTTCGGAATAAAAACTATACTGGCAATGTTTCATTCAGTCAGTCACTGGTTAAGTGGGCCCTTGCTGGTAGTAAAACAATAACAACCATTGATGGGGCCACAACGCCATCGGGAAGTGTGACCACACTAAACAAGGTACTTGACAACTCTTCAAAGCAGCCCAATAAATGCTTCTCACCTGGGGACGTCGAGGTATTTGCAACTCGCAAAGGGTTGGGAAAACGGGACGTGTGAGGGAAAGTGGAACAACACCGGTACATACAGTGACTAACGTTGTCTTCATACAAAGAAATCAACCATCAGATACGCAGACAAATGAAAATCTAAAACCTTCCAACTGGTCAGGGAAAATGAACATGACAGAAATAAACAAGAAGGTAACAGAACTGGAGGAATCTCTGAATGCGTCTGTCTTCCGGCCTTATAGATGTCGACAGCAAAGTGAGGCCCTGGAAAAAGTCAAACAAGAAATCGAAGTTGACAACATCACAGGAGAAGTTAAAGATCATGTCCAATATTGTGTCGCAAATGAAGGAGTCAACGTGTGTGTCAATTGTTCCAAAGTGTATGGAAAAAACTACAATCTGTGTACTCACTGTAATCACAATCCAAACAATATTAGTGATCGGTCAAAATTGTATAAGTTTGTTGACGTCAACCACCCCCTGCAACCGGCAAAAGTTGCCATGGGCGAAATTATTGGGGTTAATCCAAACTCACGACAAACCATCAAACATGTGCTAAAAGAGTTACTAAGGCAGGGAAATGTACCGAATGAAAGGAAATGGATCAGGATAGGTTTTGATGGGGTGCCGTACAGAATAGCAGACTCTTTGATAAACGATATTGTGATTTGTGGTGTTTGTGGGGAGGAGGTGGACTTGCAAAAAAAATCGTTCGATTTTCACTTCTGTCCATCCCGGAATGACTAACGTAGCACACCGACAACTTTTTGACTCCGTACTTCTAGCTTTAGGAGCAGGCCATGTCGAAATTAATTCCATCCGGACATTATTTCGGCTTTGTAAGCCGATATTTCTAGACCATGTGTCAGGTGTTCTGGGTTTTAAGTCCCAACGAGCCAAAGATTTCGTCAGTGGAGCCACAAATCACCACGTGTCATGGCAGGTCTTCAGAATTACATACGACGCATTTGCGAGAGAACTGATGTATGTATATGTTTCTAAATGCATCGAGGAAGGCACAAATCCGTCATTAACAGGCATGCTATCATGGAAGGAAAGGGTAATTAACCCTAATTATAATTTATTGTTTGATATCATTTTTCAGTATTTTACTGGAGTACACTGTCATCGCAGTGGAGTAAGGTGCAACAAGTCAGGAGGCAGACGGTTACACCACTCTTCTACTGTAACGATCATTATATTTATCAGAAGATTTTGTTAAGCGACATGACGAAACGTGTAGAAGCTCCAGAAGAGCTGAAGAGATACATCACAGATAACGAGTCGTTCTCTCGCAGTGGAGATCCGTTCCGTGGAGAGGGCGGTGATTTCATCACGGAGGCAGAAAACAGAACACTAAAGTCAAATCTTTCTCCAGGGATCCCAACTTTAAAGAGTTGGGTAGCTTCCAGCCGCTGCTCTAAACCCCTTGCAGTTAACAGAAAAGCTGTCTTCCAAAGAGCAGGGGTTGAAGATCCTGGCAGCGATGGAAGCTCAATCTTCAACCATGAGTTGGAAGTCCAGGCCATTAGAAGACATATTAGAGAGTCTGGTATGCTACACAACCCGTACGACTCACTCCCTTTGAGGTCCCTGGAGAACCGCCCCCTTCAAAAAGACCTCGTGAATGTCTTGTCAACATCACAAGAAAAATATAAACAGTACAAGGAAGATGTCAAGAAGCAAGCAAACACGAATGACGAAGTAGATGTATTAGAAGAATTTTAAGGTATTTTTATTTTATTTTCTTAAATCAACTTTCGTTGCCAGTTATTATATATTTGATATATTTATTTCCATTTCAATGTACAAAGTAAAAACAAAGTAAGTTTGCATAAACGATAACAAATACAGTGAAAAAAGTACAGGGATAAAATATACATAACACCAGAGACAAAGAAATGGAGTTAGAATTAATCAAACGTTTCAAAATAATGTTCAAATGTCTTTGATGTGATGAGGGCAGTAGAATGGAACGGCCTCCAGCTCCTTTTCAGACATGTACGCCAGGCCAATGCATTTCTGGTGGACCCAGTACTGGCAAGCAGATTTGGATCGCTTTGTGAAGCTGCACCCGATCCAGAGGTCAATGTCCTCTGGGCGGTTACAGACACGACAAGCATCCTTGTTGAGCTTGCCAGTACTGGGCCCATCAACGTTATCTACAATGGCATGACGTTTTCTGGGCGTTGCCATTACCGATGCCGCAGCAATGTCCCTCTCCGTCTCACGGTTATTCCGATCTCTTGATCTTGGGGTAGCTGCATCTGGTGTGGAGAAGCACCAGCTTTTTCCCTTCATCCATGTTGGACGAATTGACAAGTTCACGGAGCATCTTGTTTCTACTGCTATCTCTTTGGCCTGCATTAATGCAAAAAGAGGGAGAGAGAGATAGAAAAAGGGGATAGGGGGGGGGGGCAGGTATTACGTCTTTCTTGTTTAAAAAAAATAGAGATATATAATGCAATAATATGTTTAATGACACTCACATTGGTCCTTTAGGTTATTTGCATTTTTTTTAGATCAGAGGTTGAAGATATATTCTTTGTCAGGGATGTAGTTACTATACACCGATACGGGCGAATTTTCATGGATGTGAGCCCTCTACGTTTATCATTACACGCTGGGGGGCTTCTATCAGCTTGCGCTTTCATCTTGCATGCAACGATCATTGCTTTCTCACAGACAAACCACTTATTATTCCTTGCCGCTTTCGGACATTTCAACTTCATTTTGTCTAAATTTATTTCATTTACGATAGATGAATGGGTAGATGATGTCCGTCATTGGCGAGTTTTGCGTGCGTTTTCGGCAATCGAAGTTTGGGAGACGCCGTTGTAACGGTGTCCCACATATTCATTATCGTGTATGTTAACATGCAGATGATTTTATTGAATTGAAGAGAGTGAGAGACGGAATGATTTAGAGTTAGAATATAAATAATTCAAGGAATTTTAGCTAGCTGGAGCAGAGTTGTGAGTTCGATCTTACGGTACGGAGGCACTCTCACCACACCGTCAGTAGATGCGGGCCTAAGTACGAACGAGCTCTCGCTCATTCAACTTTCCCATTCAGGTGCTATCCAGAAGCCCCCCAGCTGCCCCCCAACTGTAGCGCCACTTACGGCGGCTTGCGTGGAAGGTCGCCCAAAGTGTATTTGTGTATACTGCACTCACGTTTTTCAATAATGTTCGTGCCCGCCTGCTATAGCAGCTCCTCCTGGCCCCCGACTCCTTCTTGTGACTTACTACAGTTTTCTGTCCACCTTTCTCCCTTTTCCTTCTTTCCTCATTTACTTCCCTCTCTAGAGCTAGGAAATACTCCTCGTCCATTTTAGTAGGCTGGAAGAAAAAGGAGGAGGGGCGGTCGTGAGGTGGTTATTATTATCATAATTTTTTCGATTTTGTTGTATTAATATTTTTATTATTATTACTATTATCATTATTATTAATATAATTATTATTATTATCATTATTATTATTATTATTATTGCTATTATTAGACATACACATGCACACCGCATTACACTACCAAAGAAAACAATTGCCATAATTTCAATCTCTTTTAATAAAATTACGCAAAGTAGGCGAAAAAGTGATCCATCCTCATAATCATATTCTTCAGATAGAACTTGAGATACTACTTTTTGTCCAAGACTTTGTTTGCAAAAAAGATATTAAAAATAGAAATTTGTTATGAAATGGGTTGATAAAAGGACATGATTAACTTGTTATTATTATTATTATTATCATCATCATTATGCTATTATTAGGCATACACTGTATGCACGCCGCATTACCAGGCACGTAGCCACTGGGGGGGGGGGGGGGGGGGGCACATGCCCCCTAACATTTCCAAGATCGGTTGAACTTGCGCATTACACTACCAAAGAAAACAATTGCCATAATTTCAATCTCTTTCAATAAAATTACACAAATTAGGCGGAAAAGTGATCCATCCTCATAATCAGATTCTTTAGATAGTATTTTTTGTCCAAGACTTTCAATTTGCAAAATAACTATTCAAAAATGGAAATACGTTATGAAATATACTCGTATTCATCCACAAATATAAGAGCGAAGCATTTCTGAGACTATCCCTAACTGATTTGCATATTTTGTTGAACTATGGGTAATAACTTTCAGTTCTGCGGTGATTCATTTGAACTCAAGTTTGGAGGAGGCCCGTCACAGCTCAAAAAGTTACATTTTCTCGCCTCAGAGGCTACAATTTGCCGAGTTGGTGTGTCAAGATGAATTCATAATCGTATATTTTCAAAACTACAGGTAGGATTTTTAAAATACAGGGTGAAAAACGTTAAAAGTACTTACTCTTTCAGATGATTGTACCCAAAGGTTGCGTTGATTAATCATTTAATGTACATTTGCGTTGACAGCAATGCAGTTGTACATGTACGTTGAAGATTTCCGACACTCTATGGTGCATGCGTGCATTGCAGATTTCTTCAACGTTGCAGAAATCGTACATTTCCCGCACTGATGTAGCTCCCAGGATTTACTTCTGTTTTGACTTTAAAATGGATTTTTACCTTGGCATGATCGTGAGATTCGTGCCAGACCCTGAAATCGGGCATGCGCGCATGAAATCGGGCATGCGTGCATTGCAGATTTCTTCAACGTTGCAGAAATCGTACATTTCCCGCACTGATGTAGTAGGGTGTCTGATCGCGCACCCAATGTTGTGTGCTAAAACCCTTCCCATAGAGATTGTACGCTTCCCTATGTGGTCTACGTGCATTGCGCGACCATCCAAAATTGGTCAATGATTTTATGAAAAAATTTGAAATTCAAACCTTTATAACAAATGATCCTGAAGGTGAAACTCAATAAATGAGGTGTCATATGAAAGAGCAGGTTTTTCTCCATATTCCCCATCGGGGGCCACCCCCAGAATTCTAAAAATATCTTGGTCAAAACAGCGATTGAAATGTTGTTTGCATCCTAGCTCCAAAATTTGCCACTTTCCTGAGCTGCCGCCCCGCGGCTTAAGCAGGGCTAGACGTAAGGATAATATCCAGATGCTTTTTTTTTCGCTAGCCCCAAGGGATCATTTGTTATAACAGTTTGAAAATACCCTTCCCACATTTTTGGAATCAGCTAATTAGGGAGGCGTGAGCTCCGCTCAGTCCAAACCATGGTTACATCGCGTAACATGTGCGCTTATAGTGAATGAAAGTATGGGTGGCCGTTCCCTATGGAAAGCCGTTGGTGACTTTATTCACGTACCCCAGACGTATGGAACGCGGCACACGTCTGCTAAATTGACCAATCACCGCCTGTTATTTAGGAGACGTGTGCAAGGTGCGATAGCACACGCCTGCTAGTTTGTTAGCACACGTGTGCCCTTTTCCAAACGGATGCGCAGTATGCTCGTAAATTGGTTTTTAAGGCAACCAATCAAGTCCGCTGTTACAAAGCTGCTCAGCTCTGTGCGTACGGGGCCTGCTCGCTGTTACAAAACTGCTCAGGTCAGTACATATTGGATGGGGGACACACCTACGGCCAGGCACGGATCCAGGGGGAGGGCCGAAGGGGTCTCCCCCTCCCCCGCCACAGAGAGAGAGAGAGAGAGCTAGAGAGAGAAGGAACAGAAGGGAAGGGGGAAAGAGGAGAGAATGGAAAGAAAGAAGAGGATGAAAAAAAGAAAAGGGGGCAAAAGAGATCGGTTGGGCGGGGAGGGGCGACTGAGGGCCTTGCCTCTGAGGCTGTTGCCCCCCCCCCCACCTCTTCCCCAAATTAAGGAAGGAAAGGGAAATAAAAAAAGGAGAAGAGGAGACAAAGGAAGGGGGAAAGGAATAAGAAAGGTAATGAAGGGGAATATCAGTAACGAATTTCTCGCAAACAATTTGTTGATCCTCAGGGGGGGGGACAAAAAAAAGAGTAGGAAGGGAAAAGGAAAGAGGAGAGCTAAAAGGGAACAAAAAGGGGAAAGAAGAAAAGAAAGGGAGGGGGTCAGATGCAATTAATCCAGCCAACAACATGTGGTTCGGGTAGGCGTGAAAGGCCACTGCCCCCCCCCCCCCCCAGCAAACTTTAAAAAGAGAGAAGGAAGGGAAGGGGAAGGGAAAGAGAAAAAATAGAGGAAGAAGAAAGGTAGGGGAGATCAGTTGCGATTTTTCCCGCCAACAAGGTGTGAATCGGGAGTGAAAGGCCCTTGCCGCTCCCCCTCCCCCCTCAGCAAAAGCGCGAGAGAGAGAGAGAGAGAGAGAGAGAAGGGAGGGAGGGAATGGGAAAGAGGAGAGAAAGGGAAAGAAAATAAAGAGTAAGAAGAAAAGAAAAGGGGGAAAGATATGCTTTTGCGCTCCTCTCGCCCCCCCCCCCCCAATAGGACCACCGCCAGATACACCACTGGACACTACTGGCGTACTCCCCCAAACAAGAATAAAACTAGGTTTATTTCTAATTCGATTTCAGTGATTTACAAATGTTGTGAAATGACATAATTTTTAGTAAATTATACTTTATGAGTTTGTTGGAAAATGACTAATTTCCCAAAGATACAGTCAGGCGAGAAATATGCTTATTTTAATAGAGGCCTTCATGTCCAGGCCCGCGGAACGGCGGTGCTCGGGAGACTGAGATTTTCCCCCTCCCCACTATTTTGAAAAAGTATATTAAAAAGAAATAGAAAGAAAGAAAGAAAGAAAGAAAGGAAGAAAAAAAGGAAAGAGGGAAAAGATATAATGCTTTTGCGCTCATCTCGCCTCCCCCAAACGAGACCAAGCGCCAAATACGCCACTAGACACCACTGGCGTACTAATTGGAAGGGGGCAGCCTCCCCCTTAAATGGTTCATTTCTAATTCGATTTCAGTGATTTACAAATGTTGTTAAATGATATAATTTTTTAGTAAATTATACTATTTTATGAGTTTGTTGGAAAATGACGAATTCCCAAAGTTACAGTCAGGCGAGAAATATGCTTATTTAGAGGTCTGATTGGCGTAAAGTCCAGGGGCTGAGCCCCAAGAAACTCAGGGGCTATCGGGGCATTCATTAACGTTCAGATGACAGATTTTAATACCCCGGAAACTCAGGGATTTTTAGGCATTTTATAACGGTCAGATAAGTATTCAGGAGCACGCCTTAGGGCCCTTGGTGGGATCAAGGGGTGGAGCCTCCGGAAAGTCAGGGGTTTTAGGCATTTAGCTACGGTCAGTTTATCATATTTTGAGACCTCATTATGACACTGGCAGGTCACAATTGATTTTTCTCTCTTTTTTCCCTTCTTCTCTTGAATATACTTTTTCAAAATAGTGGGAGCCCATGCCCCCGAGCCCCGCCGTTCCGCGAGCCTTGACATGTAGACCTCTAAATAAGCATACTTCTCGCCTGACTGTTACTTTGGGAATTTTCCAACAAACTCATAAAACATTTACTAAAAAACTATGTCATTTTACAACATTTGTAAAACACTGAAATCGAATTAGAAATCAACCTCGTTTTATTCTTGTTTGGGGGATCGCCAGTAGTGTCCAGTGGCGTATCTGGCGCTTGGTCTCGTTGGGGGGGGGGGGGGGGGGGCGAGAGGAGCGCAAAAGCATATATTTTCCCCCTTTTCTTTTCTTCTTCCTCTTTATTTTATTTCACTTTCTCTCCTATTTCCCTTCCCCGACCTTCCTTCTCTCTCTCCCTTTCTTTCCCTCTCTCTTTTTTTTTGCTGAGGGAGGAGAGGAGGCAAGGCCTTTTCCCCCTCCCCCGATCCCCCCTTTTTTTACCCCTTCATCTTCTTTTTTTCTTTCTTTCCTTTCTCTCCTCTATTCCTTATTTTCCTTCATCTCTCTCTCTCTTTTTTTGTCGGGGGGGGGGGGCAAGGCCCATATTATTATTATTATTATTATTATTATTATTATTATTATTGTTATTATTATTATTACACATATCTTAACATTCAAATATTAAAAACAAACAAAGAACAGAAGTATAAAGAAGAAAAAAAATGTACAAATGAAGATACTATTATCCACCCCCCCCCCCCCCCCCATCATCAATTATTAATTTCCAATCAGCGTTAAAAAAACGTATAGTTATGTAAATATATATTTAAGCGTACGTAATATATAAACACTAAGAATTATTTCAAATATTATAGAACTCAAACAGTAAATCATATTGATATTGATATTGATACGTCGCCGGACTGTCGATCACAAGGTCGGCGGTTCGAGTCCCGCCGCTGCACTAATGTCCTTTGGCAAGACATTGATCTACATTTGCCACACTCCACCCAGGTGAAGTAAATGGGTACCTGGTTGGAATTTATTCCTTGAAACGCAGCGCGCGTAACAGCTGCACTGCTAAAGCCAGGGTAATTATGCTGCATTATTGTAGAGCGCTTAGAGACTTCTGACAAAGTAAGTGTTAGGCGCTATATAAGCACTGTAATTATTATTATTATTATTGCATTACCCCTTTGTACGCTACATGACGCGAAAACCTTCAAGGCCCGAGAGTGTTCAAGCCCCCTGTCTCCCAACAAGACACAATTGTAAAGTGCCCCCCCCCCCCCCCTCTCCGAGCAGTAGCTAGGCTTGTAGTCTTTTAGTCTAAATACTAGTTTTATCCTGAGGTTTTAAGATTCCAATGTCATGGACAAACGAAAATCTTGAACATTTTCATTGGCTAAAATTGTATAGTTTCTGGGTGCCTGGTCCATAAGTCCTAATAAATCTTATAAATCTAATCTTATTTAGCTAAAAATCTTGAAAATCTAACTTCCTTACTTATTTGGAAAATATACCGTGCAATATTGTATATTTACGAAAAGCTTGAATGTGGTATATAACTTAAAGGCTAAATCCACTTCAAAATAATTCGCTTTCAATAAATGGAGAAAAACAAGAGAAGCAGAGAAAAAAAAATGAGTAAAATTGGATAACTAATAAGGAAGTTATGAATTTTTTTAAATATGAAAAACTATGGAACAATGGAAATCACTTCACAAATTGCCAATTTGGTTATCAGTTTGTGACGCCATTGCCTCACTATTTATCATGTCCCTGCTATTTATCAATTGCTTTATATATTTGTATGCTAAGGGCCCACTATTTGGAACAAACTACCCCCTAAACTTAAACAGTGTGCATCTTTAAACAGTTTTAAGCATCATCTAAAACTTCACCTGATACAGAAAATTTGAATTTGACAAACGCAATTTGTATGGGTGTAATTACCATTGTAGTATTGTATTTTCTTCGTCCCCTTATTTGTTTTTTGTGTGTACATTTTTAGGATCATCTACCTATAAGTTTTTGTAACTTGTTTGATGATCCAACCACTTCGTAATTTCCTTTAGTGTATTTTCCATTTTAGTGGTTTATCTATGTTTGCAAGAAACTATTGTAGT